TTTTGGTGGAATCTTTAGGCTTCTCTACATATAAGATCCTGTGACTTTTTATAATTGCTTCATAAGTGGTGCTGGGACAATAGGTTATTCAGAAGAAGCTAGATCCTGAATTACATTATATGAAAACAAAAAAAAACTATTGGAGAAAAATATAAGCGACTATTTATCTAATTTAGGAATAGAGGGCCTTTCAGTTACTAAAGGTCTGGAAGAAACATCAAGAGGAATATTAAAAGATTAATAGATTACATAAGAAGTAAACATTATTCACCTTAAAAGACACTGTTTACAAAAATACAAAGACCAAATGAAACAATATTTGACACAGACAATAAAGGGTTACTATCCTTAACTTTAAAAGGATACTTAGTGCAATAGTATATTTATTAAAGACACCAATATAAAACAAACAAAAAACAAAGGACATGATCAATTAACAAAAGACTAAAATAACAGCCAATGAATATGAAAAATCATTCAACTATAGATATAAATAAATGTAAATCAATGGATAACATTTTTGTCTAATAAATTGGCATTTTAATTTTTTTATAACAGCTAGTGTTAAAGAACCTTTAACATGTCAACAACTTTTGCTCCAAAATTCCAATTATTACAGTCTAACAAAAAAAAACATAATCAGAGAATCAGAGAGGTGACCAAAATCTCTGAAAAGGGGTGGTCCACTTAGTTTTAATTTTTAATACTATCAGATATTTTAAACAACTTTAATGCTCAAAAATAAAAGTATCTTTAATTAAATAATGACATATTCAGAAATTAGAGAAAGAAAAAATACCACTAGGTGAAAATAAAGCAGGTATTTATATAAAATGTAACTTCAATTATTTTTTTAACAATTAATAAATGTGAATATAAAGACATATGTAAATAATCAAGGAGAATATACCCAAATGAAAACAAAAAGCCACTTTAGGATAGATAGGATGAACTCGTAATTTTTGTGCAAATTGACTCATTTTTTTTTTAACCATGAAATATCTTTATTGTCAGTCTCTATATAAAGATAGCATGTATCATATGATGCTGGTTGAGAATACTCTTCTAAAGCACATTTTGGAAAGAATTAATAAACATGATTTTTAAAATACCTGTCTATCCCACAGATTCAGGGAATATCTTGGAATACTGGGAGAGTTGTGCTAAATTCTCCCTCCACATGTCTTTTTTTCAATTTCTTCTTTATTACTCTTTTTGGCTTGTATTTGAAACAGAGTTATTTGACACATACAAAACCATAATTTTATTTTGATCAAAAATTAAAAGAGTATGTATGCTTTCTTTCTCCTTAAATGCATTTCTTCTGATATTAACGTGCAGTCCCTAATTTCTTTTTGCTGCACTTATTTGCCTTATCTTTGCCTCCCTTTTAGTGTTTATTTTCTTCGTCATATTATTCTAGGTGAACGGCAATTGGCATTACTCCTTTCTGACCCAAGCTAAAAGTCTTGGCTTTTTGTTTATTTTTTTTTAAAACGTTTATTTATTTTGAGACAGAGCATAAGCAAGGGAGGGAGAGGGAGAGAGAAAGAGAGAGAATCCCAAGCAGGATCCGCACTGTCGGCACAGAGCCCGATACAAGGCTCGAGATCAGGAACTGCAAGATCATGACCTGAGCCATAACCAAGAGTTGAATGCTTAACTGACTCAGCCACGCAGGCACTCCAAGTCTCTGCCTTTTAATACAGAAGTTTAAGCCATTTACATTTATACTATACACTGAATCTCTCTTTTGTGATTTTATTTTACCATTTTTTAAATGACTTCTAGTTGTTTATTTTCAGACTTCAGACTACTTTTTTTTTTTTAGGTTTATTTATTTATTTTGAGAGAGATTGAGTGAGAGAGCAGGGTAGGGGCAGAGAGACAGGGAGAGAGAGGATCCCAAGCAAGCTCTGCACTGTCAGCATTGAGCCTGACACAAGGCTCGAACTCACTTATGAGAGCATGACCTGAGCTGAAATCAAGAGTTGGATGCTTAACCGACTGAGTCACCCAGGCACCCCTGGACTTCAGGCTACTTTTAATTTTTGCTTTGTATTTAATTTTCTCCAGCACACTGCAAAGTATAAGTTGTGCTTTAAAAATTCTCCTCATGAGATAAAACATTCTTTTTATCCTCCTCTTTAAAAAGAGTTATGCACATAAAGTGGTCCCCAAATGTAATTTTAATGCAAGCTTTCAAGTGCAGCACTAACTGGGTCACTTTTGAGGATAAAGGCAGAACTTATGTGAATTATGCAGGGACAAGGGTCCATCGGAAGCATCTTAGGTAAACAAGGACTGCGATTCACTCTGTGTCTGGTATATTCTGCATCTAAAGGGACTGACAAGCATTCAAAGGTAGGTGTTTGTTGACAGTTGTATACACTGGCCAAAAGCTTAGGAAAGAATTGTGGGCGTGATGTAAAGATTTCACAGTTATCAAAAACACAGCTAATAAATAGAGCCATGAAACTGAATAAGAAAATAGAGGCAGTAGGTATACAGAGTTAAAGAAAAAACTGATTCCTGAAGAATACCACTTAATGTTTAAAAAAAAAAAGAGCCCCCCCAAACTAAAAGAAACAAACAAAAAACACAAAAGAATTACAAAGGAAAGCCACAAATTGCAGTCAGAAGAGTAGGAAAAAAAAGGGGGAGGGGTTTGACTCCATTTCTTGCTGTGTCTTCTCACAAAACTTTCAGGATCCAGTGATTTTGGCCAAGAAACAAACAAAAAAAGGATTGTCCCATTCTGTAATGGATTTGGATGAAACCTGGTAAGAAAATCTGGTATATCTCCAAGAGGAGACATTGGAGAAGAACCCATGTAGGTTTCTAAGAATTGCATGTGTATTTATGCTGTTATCAAGGTTGCTAGCATCTGTCTTTCCATATCAAGCTGAAAACATCACCACTATATGGGCAGTTGGATAAGTCTTATTGGGAAAATGATTTTTTCTCTTTGTTTTTATGCCTCTGTACTAGTAGATTGGTTCAGTAACAAATATGTGAGTTCTTTTGTTTGCAAACAATTAAGGAGAAGTAAGTACAGTAATGGAAGCAGGTAAAGTGCTTTAGGGATTAAGAATTTGCCAGCAGTTTTAAATGACATTCAAGGGCCAAGTAAGAAAAGGACTGTACAGGAATATCTCCAAGATATTGCAGATTTGGTTCCAGAACAACTCAATAAAGTGATTATTGCAATAAAGTGAGTCAAATGAAGTTTTTAGTTTCTCAGTGCATATAAAAGTTATATTTACCCCCTATTATAGCCTACTAAGTGTGCATGCAATAGCATTATGTCTAAAAAACCTATATGCATATCTTAAGAATACTTTATTGCTAAAAAGTGCTAACCATTACCTGACCTTTCAGCAAGTCACAATCACTGATCACAGATCACCATAACAAATACAGTAATAATAAAAAAGTCTGAAATAATGTGAGAATTACCAAAATATGACACAGAGACACAAAGTGAGAAAATGCTGTTGGAAAAATGATGCCAATAGGCTTGCTCGACACAGGGTTGCCACAGCCCCTTAATTTGTAGAAACAAAACAAACAAACAAAACAATACAAAACAAAAACCCCACAGTATCTGCAAAGTGTAATAAAGAGAAGTGCAGTAAAGCAAGGTATGCCTGTAGATGTCTCTTAGATTTAGTACCAAGGAAGTAATTGGTAACTTGGAATAGGAGTTTTCCTGGAATAGTGACTCTGGAAGCTAGATTGTTACAGGTTAACCAGTAGGAGGAGGTGAGGAAGTGGAACCCAAGCATAACGATCCTTAGAAGCAAACTGGCTGTGAATGAAAGAACTAGGAAGAAGGAAGTAGGATTAAGGGGAGGATTGCTTAAGTCAGGAAAGCTTTCAAGTTATTTGGATATGTTGTAAGAGACAGTGGAAAGAAAGGAGCTGAAGATGGAGGAAAGAGCATAATTAATTAAGGTCTATTAGCAGGCAGGAGGGAAGAGCAAAGAATTAACGAGCCTTAGATAGGAGAAGGGTGAGGAATAAGGTGGACCTTCAGGGGCTCAGTGTCTTCATCTGTGTCTTCCAGTTCTGCAGAGTCTAGACAGAAAAAAGGGAAGATTTCCCAGACTCTCTTGCAGTAGGGTTCCCATACAGACTTAGACCCAGACAATCCTCCGCAAGATGAGAAAGTGGAAGGAAGTGAGGCCGAGATCGTGCCAACGCTACTTCTGCTTTTCCTGTTGGCAAGTCCTTAGTGGACACGCGGATGTTTTTCTCTGACACTGTTCCAGTGTCCAGGTGCTTGGCTGATAGCAAAAGGCAGAACTGTTGCGCAGAACCGGGCACTGTTTTGTTGTTGTTGTTGTTCCTAGGTGGACCCATTAGGCATGGCATGACCCTGTGGCCACCACCTGTGACAACTTACTGGCTAATACCAGCTAAGGCAGTGCTCCTGGGACCAAGAGTCCCATTGTCCATTTCCAATCCCCCTCTGTTTTGATTGCGTAAAAGGAAGCAGTTTCCTGGGAGGGTTAGTTCTGTGGTGGTCTTTTTAGTGTTACGAAGCTTGCTAGTCCAGTCCTTCCAGGGATATTTTGAGCATCCGGTTCCTGGTATTAGATTTCATTTTGCTTGAAACAGCTAATGTAATTTCTGTTTTCTGCAAGTGCACTCTGACAGCGAGGCACATGTATTCTTGCTTGAAGAGGGAAGGCAGAGAAGCTGGGTGTAGATATAGATAAATTCGTTTTTTTTTGGTAATCTCCTTGAAGGTAGGAGTTTGTAAGCTGGGGTGAGCAGAGCCGCAAGGGGTTCTTGGATAGGATTCAGAGCATCTGTGAACTTAAATGAGAAAAAAAATCCCATCTCCTCTTCACGAACCACTAAAATTAGGCATTTTCTTCTATTCTAATGCAGGCCATCAAACGACAGCATCATCAGCAGTTCCTGTGACTTTGTCTCTAATAGAAATCACAGATGTTTTCACATTACATTAAGAGTTGTAATAAATACCTTTCGGCAGTGACGACCTGCCCACGAGAACATGCCCCTTGTGAAGGACCTCCTGCACCCGTCCCCGGAGGAGGAGAAGAGGAAGCACAAGAAGAAGCGCCTGGTGCAGAGCCCCAACTCCTACTTCATGGACGTGAAGTGCCCGGGGTGCTACAAAATCACCACCGTGTTCAGCCGCGCGCAGACGGTGGTGCTGCGTGTGGGCTGCTCTACTGTCCTGTGCCAGCCAACAGGAGGAAAAGCAAGGCTCACGGAAGGATGCTCCTTCAGACGGAAGCAGCACTAAACGCACCCTGAGTCAACATGAGTGGGGAACTATCCCAATAAACAGATTTTGGATTAAAAAAAAAAAGAGTTGTAATAAATAAAAACATTAAAAACATTTTTTAAAGGGGCGCCTGGGTGGCTCAGTTGGTTGAGCGTCCGACTTCGGCTCACGTCACGATCTCGCAGGTCATGAGTTCGAGCCCCGCATGGGGCTCTGTGCTGACAGCTCAGAGCCTGGAGCCTGTTTCAGATTATGTGTCTCCCTCTCTTCTCTCTGCCTCTCCCCAGCTCATGCTCTGCCCCTCTCTCTCTCAAAAATAAAGACATTAAAAAATTTAAAAAAAGAGTTGTAGATTTCAAAATATTGTTTATCCTTGTAACTATGGTAGTTATTAGGCTTGCTGTTAGACATTCCTTTTTAACGCATTTATAAAGGAGCAGGTGTTCCTATATCATAATTTTTTTAAATTGAAAATTACATTTCTTTTGTAATCCTGTGTATTTTATTTTGTGTATTTAAAAATATTATTGTGGGCGTACCTGGGTGGCTCAGTAGGTTGAGCGTCTGACTCTTGATCTTGGCTCAAGTTGTGATTTCAGGGTTGCAGAGTTAAGCCCTGTGTCGGTGGCTCTGTGCTGACAGCACTGAGCCTGCTTAGGATTCTCTCTCTCTCTCTCTCTCTCTCTCTCTCTGTCTAAATAAATAAATAAACTCTAAAAAAAATTATTCTGAGAAGGGGTTCATAGGGTTCAACAGACTAAAAAAACAGCCCATAGCAAAAAACATGCTAAGAAGCCCATTCTAATGTCTTCTATTTTAGAAGCAGGGTCTCCAAACTTCAGCACTGTTGGCATTTTAGGATGGATAATTCCTCCATATGGGGAACAGTCTTCACATCGTAGGATGGTCAGCAACCTTGTCCCGCTGTATGCTAGTAGCTTCTGACTGCGTGATAGTCAAAAGCATTGTCACTTGGGGGGCAAACGTGACCCTGGCCAAGAACCGCTAACGTGAAGTAGGGCTAGGAGCGAGAGGTGGAAGGTGACTGGCTCGGAGGTCTGATCAGACAGAGGGTTTAAAGCGGAGGCAGCAGAGGATGGCAGAGGCATCTGACCAAAGAAATGTGTAGTGGAGCGATGCTGACAGACCAGGTGAATTCGGCAGCTAGCCCACAGATGAGAGAAGGAGGTTCTCTATTTGCTCTTTTCTGCTTGACATGCCTGATGAATAGGATTCAAAGACAGAGAGTGTAGCATCAACAGTATTCGTGCAGTAGAGGCTACTTAAAAACGAGAGCTACCTACACAATGTCCAAAGAACTGTTTCTCCCACCAGTGCCCCCTACACCAACATGTCAACACAATGGTTGGGATATACACCATGTCCAGACAAAAGGATAATGAGAACGTTTAGAGCCTAAAAATAACTGTTACTGCCCTTTGTTCTGCTACTGTATGTAGAAGAGAATATTCTGGATTTGAATGCATGAAGGGGCTGCTATTCTGAGAAAATCTGAGCCCAGTAGGCACGGATACAAAGGATAGGAAGCACCCTTGATTCGGCAATTTGACTCCTAGATATTTACCCAAGAGAAATGAAAAAAATATATATACATATATATATATCCACATAAAGACTTGTCCAAGAGTATTGATAGCAGCTTTATTCATAATAGCCCCAAACTGGAAAGGATTCCAAAGTCCACCAACAGTAGAATACACTGGAATATTATAAATGAAATATTACTGAGCAATAAAAAATATGCAGTGGCATGAATGAAACTCAAAAACATGCTGAATAAAAGCCTTACACAAAGGTGGACCTACGGATTGTATGATTTGTTTATTTGGAGTTTTGAACAAAATAGAGTGATTAAAAAAAATCAGAATAGTGTCTGACTCGATGGGGGTAAGGAAGAGGATTGATTAAGGGGACAGGGAGATTTTCCTGGGGTGATAATAATGTTCTCTCTCCTGATGGGGAGTTGGGGCACACGGTTGCATGCAGCTGCCCAAACTCACCAAATTGCGCACTCAGACTTGTGTATTTCACCGTATGTAAATGATACTAGAGGGACAGATGGGAAGAGGGAAAAGAAAAAAAGAGAACTGTAAGTAAAAATTGAACTCATGGTTAATGAAATACATGCTACAATGTTTGAAATGAACTGATGTCTACAATACTCTGAAATAGAGTTTAAAGTGTGCAGTTAAAAAAAAATGGATTGATGGATAATGAGGTGGTTCAAACAGAAAAGCTAACTGCAGATTCTAGGCGGTGAGTGTGGTTCGTGCGCTATTCTTCCAGCTTTTCTGCAGCTTGAAAAATTCTTTCTGAAGGACGTGAAGGTGTGTAGGTAAACGTCTTTTTGCCTTCTGAAGTATTTCATTCATCTTTGGGCAAGGAAAGTACTCTGAAACAAGCAAAGCATTTCATTTGGTTCTTGCCCTACTTCAACAAATGGATCCTAGAATGTCACAGGCATCGGCTCCATCCAGTGACAAGCAGCTTCGATCACTACTACGTGGCCACCACGGCTCACGAGGCTGTCCCAGGTGCTGCACTAATCACTTTACACTTGTTCTCTTCACGTAGAGATGCTAATGGCGCCCTTGACTGCTTAACAAAAAGCTCTGGGCTGAGTCACATCCTCAGAAGCTGCAGACAGCCTTGGACTAGAACAAGCAGATGTCCGAGAGGAGGATAACATCTGTGACGGCAGGTATTTTTAGGAGAATGTATTATTTAAATACGTTACGAAGCCATGGCACGGTGTGTGTGTGTATGTTTGGGTATAGTGAGCTCAAGGGAGAGAAGAAGATGCACAGTGTAAGTCATAAAAAGGAACAGTAGCTTTAATCCAATTTCGACAGAGAAACAAACCTTCCTTTTCCCTCTTTTTTTTTTTTTCTTAAGCTCATTCCCGATGTCATAGGATATCGTCACCTGGCAAAGCGGTGTGACAAAAGCTGCCTGGATTGGACACCCCCAGCTCTTCTGTGGCTTTCCTTTCTCAATAAACCTTTGACAAAGGTCGCGTTTTTGGTTGTTTGGTCTAAGTGTTTCTCGCTCGGTAGAGTGATTCAGCGTCTCTGAGTGTCACTAAATAAGTGGTTTCAGTGAAGCTTTTTGGAATCTACTTCCCTAAAGGCTGCTTGGTGGTGGGCCTGGGACTGGTTTGGTTTTGTGTGAAACTGGTAAATAAACAATGTAATTACCAGGCTGCCTAGTCCTCGTGACTCCCGATACCTGCAGAGCCACCCATGTGAGGAGAGGGCAGGGCTGTTACCTTCAACTAAGACTGACAAAAGGCCAAGGCACTAACGTGGCAGAAGCTGGATTTGAACTAACGAGACCTTAGGAGCCCTGGAGCAGTTGTGATAGCACCAAAAAGAATCTATGAAACTGGTATGTACTAGGAACAAAACAATAAACCAGCCTGGAACCAAGACAGGCCAATCTCTGATCTCCTTTATGCTGAGCCACGGCTAGAGGCCATATTCAAACCTGATCCATGAAACGGTGCCCATGAACACTGGCCACGTGTAGGGGGAACGCATCCCAGAATTGGACTAGAGAGAGCAACCCCATGCCGAACCACTTCAGATAGATCTGTTCCATTCACTTCATTTTTGTGGACCCTCCAGTGCTGTCATTACGGAGAGAGGCATGGTTCTTTGTAAAGCCAGGCCAAACAATCTATTCTTTTTTTTTTTTTTAATTTTTTTAATGTTTATTTATTTTTGACAGAGAGAGAGACAGAGCATGAGCAGGAGAGGGGCAGAGAGAGAGGGAGACACAGAATCCGAAGCAGGCTCCAGGCTCCGAGCTGTCAGCACAGAGCCTGACGCGGGGCTCGAACTCACGGACCGCGAGATCATGACCTGAGCCGGAGTTGGACACTCAATGGACTGAGCCACCCAGGCGCCCCAACCAAACAATCTATCTTGACTGAAGTGTAAACCAAGCATTTTCTGCCCGTCTTGTTGGACTAATACAGAAGCATTTCAGAAAACAGCTCAATTAGTGATATCCAGGTTCCAAAAAGCAGCAGATAGACTTTGAGAGTTAAGAGGACTGAGGAGGAAAAGAAATTTTGGCTCATTCCCTAACACAAATTGTATATAATCAGCAAATAAGCAGGGAGTTTTCATTGGTTTAGAATTCATTTGGGACTTAATTCCAATAAAGATGATGTGATGACATTTAAAAGCGTGGATGAAACTAGATACACAGGAAAACTGAAGGTGACTTTGGTGGAGAATATAAAATATAAGATAGTATACAAAATAATAAAATATTCACTTCTCAGGTGGCTTTTATGAGTTGCTGACTCAATACATCTGTACAGTTTTGACCATCTATACTAGTGACTTTTTTGTCTTACTTTTACATGCACAGTGTTCTGTTTAAAAACAATATTTTTTTCAATATTTATTTCTGAGAGAGAAAGAGAGTGAGCGTGAGCGCATGGGTGGGGGAGGGGCAGAGAGAGGGAGGCACCAAATCCCAAGCAGGCTCCAGGCTCTTAGCTGTCAGCACAGAGCCCGACACGGGGCTCCAACCCAAGAACTGTGAGACCATGACCTGAGTTGAAGCTGGACATTTAATCAACTGAGCTGCCCAGGTGCCCCTGTTTTTTTGTTTCTTAAAAATAGAACCATCTCTTGGCACCAACTTCTCGGCCATTCTCCCAGGAGAAGAAACAAAAACGTTGAATGACTCACCATCTGAGCAGAGAGGGAGCATCTCCCAAACTGCTTGCGTACTCCCCCCCACCCCACCACCACCACACACAAAAGACCTGCCCTCACAGATGCCTGACCACGGGCTGCAGGCACAGTCCAGCTGAGCAGGACACTGCTCACCCGCCCTTGTGTGCTCTGTGCCTTCAAGGTGAAATGCTGGTCTCACCGGGTTAGAAGAAAAATCCAGAAACTCTCTTCTCCGCTAACATCTCCGTTTTTGGTATCTGGGTATGGGGTTGATCAGAGGAATGCTGAATGTTGCATTTTTGCTTACTTCTGGGTTTTTTTTTTTTTTTTAATAGAGTTACTAATAAGTCTGAGTAA